AGTCATGATGCAGCTGAGCTAAGCCCTTTTTACACACATACTCTCTCCCTCTCTCTAATGTAATTGTGTATGTCGGCAACGTTAACAGAAAGGCAGCGTGACCTGCCAGAATATGAGCCCATAGCGGTAATGCGATTACCAGTGTATGAAACATAATGATAGACGATGCGAGTGAGACAAAGACAGAGTGCAGTGGAGGGAAGGAGCAGGTAAAACAGAGCGAGAAAAAGAAAGGGCAGCAGCAGATGAACGGAGGGAAAGAACAGCAGGTAAACAGTAATGTAATTGCCATTAGATCAATTTGATCACGGTCAGAGATCACTGCTTGTGATGATAAATATTGATCTGATAAAACCACTGAGGCAGAAATATGGGCTGACATGAATACAGGCAGAGGAGGAGAGAGCAGTTACAGCTGCACTTGCTCAGACCTTCATTTTGAAACATGACCATGCAACTCAGACTGAGAAAGCTCTGATAAATCCACTGTGCACCACCTGCTCAGCAACAAAAGGCAAAAAAAATCAGCAACTAGCTGGTGAACATAGTTTAGCATTTAGCAGCTGAGGAGCCAGATGTTTCCATGAGGATGGTGGAGACCAAAGCAGCTAATGTTGCTCTGCTGGTATAAACAAAGGAAAAAGGTGCTGGATATGTTCCTCTGTTCCTTTGTGCGAGGACAAACAGGAGGTGCACTGCAAATGCCCTACAAAATGACCTCCAGCAGACTGGTGTGCATGCTTCTGACCAAACTGTCAGAAACAGACTCCATGAGGGTGGTATGAAGGCCCAACGTCCTTTAGTGGGACCTGTGCTCACAGCCCAGCACCACACAGCTCGATTGGCATTTGCCGGAGAACACCAGAATTTGCAGGTCTGCCACTGGTGCCCCATTCTCTTCACAGATGAGAGCAGGTTCACACTGAGCACATGACAGGTGTGACAGTCTAGAGATGCTGTGGTGAACGTTATGCTGCCTGTAACATCATCCAGCATGACTGTTTTGGCAGTGGGTCAGAGATCTTCAGGGGAAGCATATCATTGGAGATTCACACAGACCTCTATGCCATAGCCAACAGTACCCTAACTGCCGTTAGGTACCGGGATGAAATCCTCAGAGCAACTGTCAGACCTTACGCTGGTGCAGTGGGCCCTGGGTTCTTCCTCGTGCAGGACAATGTCCAGACTCATGTGGTCAGAGTGTGTAGGCAGTTCCTGAATGATGAAGGCATTGATGCCATTGATTGGTCCTCTCATTCCCATGACCTAAATCTAATTGAGCGCCTATGGTACGTTATGTATAGGTGCATCTGATGCCACTAAGTACCGCCACAGACAGTCCAGGAGCTCACTGATACCCTGTACAGATCTGGGAGGAGATCCCCCTGGACACTATGAATCCAGCCCTCAGTGGGTTGATGATTTTGGTTTCCACTGACCTTTGTTACTTCATTTTGTTCTCAACAAATTATACAATGTGCATCAGTAAAGATTTTCAACTTGAATAATTTGTTCAAGACCTGATGTGTAATTAAAGTGTTCCCTTAATTTTTTTGAGCAGCATATATTTAAAACTATGCATCATTTACATACACATTTTCTTCTCTGCCATTGTTACAACCTTATTTTGCACATGACATTACCTCTGCCAACTTAATATTAGCAGAATAGCATGAAAAGTGGAGGCAGAAATGTGTATTGCATCATCCTTGTGCAGGATACAAACAGAACAGGGAACAACCAGGCCCTCAGGAAAGACACCAGACTTTGAGCATCACAACCTCCGCAAACACCTTATTTCTCCATCAGGATTGGATTCACTTGGTCCAACAACATTTTAAAATCTAGAGGAACCACATGGTTAAATCATTATATCCCCATTCAAGTTAGCTGAGGGCTAAACCCCAAGTAACTGGCTTGGCCTGCTTGATGGGCCCAATTCAGGTAATTTTACCACAGTAGTTGAACTTATATGGCTTCAAGCGCCACTGAAACACCTTTCCTACCAAATCAGCTTGGAATCTTCAAGATTCAGGATTCTTGGTGCTATCCAGCAAAGCAGCCAGCATTTCCACCAGTTTTGCACAGAGCCATTGTAATTAAGGATGTGCCATCAACAGAGGTGTTGCACAATGCACAACAGAAGTAAAAAAAAAAAAATATCAAGGATTACATGGATTACCTGCAAAGTTTTGATCTTTTGACAGATATTTGTTTTTACTCCAAAAACAAGCATTACCCAACTATCAATAAGACCACCGTTAGCTCCTTTGTCTGATAATGTCTCACTTGACTTCTGCATCCTCTCTTTCCAACTGTGTCAAATATGACACAGCCACTGATGTCATTACGATTTGCACTTCAAGTCAAGGAAAACCTGCTATTTTTTTGGTTCCAGCTAAGAACCAACTTTTTGGATTTTGAACCAATTCATTTTTGGTCAAAATGCTCTTAACGGTTCATAATTAGGTGTGGGAACCAGAACAGAACTGGTCCCATGTTGGTGGAAAAAAAAAGGTATGAGCAACTTTCATAGGAATGAATGGGGCCCAGCCTCCAACACTGTATGCAGTTCTCTTTATGTATGTCCATGGGAGCAACTCATAAAAATATTGCTCCAGGTGATATGTCAGTGTTGTGTTGACAGTTTGTGTGCTGCCCCCAGGTGGCCAAAAAAAATCAGTGACTGTAGTTTTGCCAGTAGAGTCATCTTCATGTTTTCAAACTACGAACTTCACATACAACGATCCATTACACAGATACAGCTACAAATAGACAAAAAAAATGTACAACCCATGAGGCAAATATGAATGTTTCATGCAGAGGAGAAGGAGAGGTAAATGGAATGAAAAGAAGAAATGATTACCAGAGGTGAAATTGGCAGGGGAGAGATATGTCTCCCTGGTCTTTGGGAAATTTTTGACTTTTCATTTGTAGCATACAGACTTCACTTCAAGCCGAGTTCGACACATGTTCTGCATGATTGCCCAGAAATTGAAAACGGTAAAAAACTCAAAAAGCATGAGAGTGAATTCATACTATATTTCAAAATGCAATTACAAGGCTTTTAACCGTTCATGTTGCCCGGACAGATTGACTCTGTGGAATCATGCACAAATTAGGAAATGTTCAGTTCGGTCCAAATTCTTCAAGCACCAGGGAGCAGAGCATTCTGTGCTCCAAAGAGAGAGTGAAAACGACAGAGGGAGAAAGGAGAGAAAACACAGAATAGACTGGAGAGCTCCCTGAGGAGCTCCCTCACTGCTCTGCAGCTTTACACGTTTGCTGTGGGTGAGCACAAAATGCATCACAACAGAGTGGTGGAGTGTGTGGACAGGCTGTGAAGCGTGCTCTGTTTCTGCAGGACAAACACAGGAATACAGACACAAACACACTGGAGGAGGTTGTGATAAAGTTACAAAAAAACAGTCAACTTTTGCAGCAAAAATATTCTATTTATTATTTTTTAACAAACTTATTGAATCAGACATAAATATTTTAACAGCATGTCCTTGCCAAGCTTGAGATTTGAATTATTTCTGCAGCATTTATTTTTTATTTTCCCTTCAGAAAACTGGAGCTCAGGCTTGAAGCTGCTCTGACGCAACCTAACTCAAGGATAAGCTCATTTTTTCCATTGTTATTAAGTGTCTGTAAGAACAGTTTATATTACTGCTTATACCCATTGTTAGAGGAACCACCTGCAAAACACTTAAAGCACTAAACTGAGGTCACCAGGGGAAGAAATACAACAAAAATGAGCTAATTCAATTCCATCTTAAGAATTTGCCTGACATATGATAGAGCCACATTGATTACATGATTCATCTGCATCCCATTAACATGAAGCCAGTGCAGCCTACAATAAAAGTTGACAGACCGAATCCCCTCCATTCATTGTTGGACCTGAAATTCAAGCTGAAATTGCTTTCTTCTAAATTGCCACAGCGCAAAATGCTCATGCATTGGAACAGCAGTAAAATGTAGCTCCAGTCTGTTTCATTTGCATTGAATTATTATGGGTGGCTTTTACTCACTTCATTTTGGGTCCACAAATTGATCTGAACTGACTGTTTACAAGGAGGGAGGCAAATAGCTGCAAGTGACATCAAGTGCAAATAGAAATGTCATATTGTTTAACACTACAGTACAAAACTGAGAGTCCCTTTTAGCTGTTTTACTTCAAAGCGAAGAGACGACACCTGAGGCTGACTGGATGATCAATAGAACACTGACGAGCTCTCGCTCCAAAAAAGAGAAACTGGTGTCGCTATTAATCAAAAGGGCTAATTCTTCAGGTTCCCTCAATATTCCTCCAGATGAAAAGACTAAGCAGATAACGGCTTGTAAAATGTGATGTAATCATTTTCATGGAGAAGGCAGTACTGTCATAGCCAATCACAAGTGTCCATCACAGTCAGAGTTCATGCTGACAGTGGAGTTTCCTAAATTAAGGTTCAGTTGTTGAGCTGTTCAGACATCTGTGCAGGGTAATTTAGACATGCTAAAGGGACAGTTCACCTCAAAATCAAAAATACATATTCTTCCTCTTACTGTGGTGCTGTTTTTCCAGTCTTAATTGTTTTGGTGTGAGTTGCCGAGTGTTGGAAATATCAGCCATAGAGATGTCTGCCTCCTCTCTAATATAATGGAACTAGATGGCACTCTGCTTGTGGTGCTCAAAGTACCTGGAAAATACATGTGAAAAAACTCAACAGCAATGTCTCTTTCCAGAATCAGGACCCGGTTATTAAAGATAATCCACAGACCTTCTTGTGAGCAATTTAATGTAGAACTTCTTTCTGTCTACCAAACTACGTCCACCAACTGTATCACCCCGCAGAAGGAGGCGTGAATCTTCTGCAGCTCATCTAGCACCACTGAGCCACCTAAAATTATGTTTACATCTCACACTGTCATGTGCACAAGCCTCTCATCCATGAGTAGATTCACGCTTCCTTCTGCGGGGTGATACAGTTGGTGTATGTAGTTTGGTAGATAGAAAATATTTCATGAATTTTACATGAAACTGCTCACATCAAGGTCTGTGGATTATCGTGCATAACCAGGTCATGCTTTCTGGCAAAAGACATTGCTGTTGAGTCTTTCTTTCTATTTTTTTGATGCGTTGAGCACCACAAGTCAAGTGCTACCTAGTTCTATTATAATGGAGAGAAAGCAGACATCTCTACGGCCGATATCTCCAACAATCAATTCAGACTGATGAAGAGCACTATAGGTGACAGAAAAAATACTTGGTTTTGATGTTGGGGTGAACCGACCCAGATGGTATTGATCTCCTCATCCAACTCTCAGAAAGAAAGGCAACAAGTCTATTTCTCAAAATGTCAACAACTCTATTAATAATCTGAACTCTGTCTACTGGCTGCTAAAATTGGAGTCATGCAAAATTAGAATTACACCTTCTTTTCACAGGTGAATCAAGTTTTCACAGACATCAAGGAAAACACTGGAAGCTGAGTTTAGCAGCAGCAAGACAAACCAATCAGAAGTTTCTGCACACATATGGATGTTTCTCTGAGCAAAACAAACTCCTGAAAAGAAACAGCGTAAGTGCTTTGTTATTCACTTTGCTCATGTGTTGAACCCAAATGTGCCTGCCAATGAGTTCTTAACAAGGAACATTAGCCTGAAGAACTGAGCCTGAAAGATTAATAGTGATGGCACATAACACTAAATCAAGTCTGCATTATATTAAAAGAAACATTCAAGGTATTCTCCCTTTCTAGATAAAGTTTTTCATCCATCCATCATCCCTTTGTACTTGTCTCCATCCGTCCATCTGTTGTGTGTTATTCTCGTCATCACGCCTTCCTTCTACTTGTTTTCATCCCTGCTGAGAGGTAGAGGAGCTGCAGCCTCATTTTCATCTGCAGACTCACAGTCTGGAAGGCAAACAAGTCAGAAAACAAGTCAGTAAATGAATAAATAAATGAGGGGAAATTGGGTGTATCTCTAAAATTAAATTCAAACTTACAAGAGGCAGGCTGGGTAACTTTCTCATCATCACGCTGTGCTCAGAGTCACTGAAGAGGTTCTTATCCTGACCTGGGTCAGTTGCTAACATGTACAATTCTCCAGCATGGACATCTGAGACATTCACCTAGAAGGAGAGGCAGATGGATGATAGATAAATATAATCTGTTACTGTCACGGAAAGTGTCTCCAACATATTGTGCCAGACAAGATGGATGAATCCATCATAAATATAACTCCACAGCCTGAACCCCATACACTCACACAAAAGGAGAATAAAAGTAAAACACATATTAGAGAGATGATTTTCATGCTGTGCAGGTATGTGATACACCAACCTGAAATGTTTTGGGGTTGAATCCCAGCCAGAGAGTGTATCTATAGTCCCAGGAGCGTAGAGAGTAACCCATGATCCTTATGTCATTAAGGTCAGGGAGGTCAGAGTTCTCCTAAAATAAGAACATTGAACTGTAAAAGCATCTCGTAGAAAACTTTCTGCAGTGCTGTTGAATCTACAGCTGCCAACTCATCCTGCGAGCCGGGCCGATGAGCTGATGTCAGGCTGCCAAACTGTTCCGTACAGAGATTAACCTACAGCAGGTGCAGCACTCATCTGGATAATATGTTAATTCAAAGATCCTGCGCTCGTTGCTGGCAGCTCTAGTACAAGCAAGCACATAATGCAGAAGGGTCAAAGTACGACGGCGTAACAACAGGCATTCAACATGACTTCAGTTTTCATGACCTTCACTAATTTCGACATTTTATATTCACCAACAAAATCCATTCATTACAAGTAACAGTGTGACATATTAATTAAAAGAATATGCCTGCTTTCTGAGCGATAGGAAATAATAATGATTTAACCTTTAGACAGCACATGAAAGCTATTTAATTTGCTTTTCTAAACACTCCGTCTCGTCTCGTACCTGTGGTGTCTCAGCAGGTCGAGGGTACTGGCTGAAGGCTATGTCTTCCTCATCCACTCCTCTTTCTCTGTGTCGGAAGGTGTAGGCCAAGTTATCTCCTTCTGTACACAACTCCTCCTGAAAGCAAGAAAACAGACCTTAGAGTAAAGGATATAAATGTCAGAGTCTGTTATATCACATTCATGTCAGGCCTGTTTATGGAGTGTTTACTTCTTGCTTCATTTTGTTTGCCAATGTTAATACAAGGCCATTTGAACACATTGTACAAAAGGAGTCTGAAGGTCTCAGTTCTGTTCTTGTGCTGCAGTTTGTAGAAAAATGACATGAAAACATGGACTCAACGAAAGACCAATTAGTTGAGTCCATGTTCCATGTCATTACAAAAGTTCAACAAGCTCAAAGTTACAGAGATTGAATTACATTTTGAGCTTGATTTTGAATCCCACTTGTTTCTAAAATAAATACCAGGAAGTTCCTTTCTTAAATGAGCTGATTTAATTCTATTTATGTTGATATTAGACTTCATTGAGATTTTAGTTAAAATGACAGTAATGGTGGCTTTGCAGTCACACTGTCAGCAAATTGATGATATTTATGCAATCTTTTTCACTTAATGGAACATATTTAGCTGTCAGATATTCCTGATATTTCCGCCTCAGAAATGTAAGTCAGAGACTGATATTTCAGTCTGGACCAAAGTGGTGGAACTACCAAAGCTGTATTTTCTATCAGACACTTTCGGTATAGTACCCTTAGAACCAGTGCGTAACCCATACAGACATGTACCCACCCCTAGGCGCCTGCTCTATCCACTTAGCCACCGACGTCCATCAATGGGGTTTTTTAATAGGTTTTTGGTTAGATGCCTGAACTAAGGTCAGTGGTTAACACAAGATTAAGGGACTTTCACTTTTTCTTCTACAACATAAAATGCCAATCAAAATCCCACTCCTGAACTTTAAAACCTCTATGTGTCTTAAAAAAGGTGGTTGCTAACAAGTGGCTAAATGATACTACAGAATGTCATCGCGCTGAGCCACGACGAACACAGATTTACAGTCTTGATATGGTGGTGGTTCATGTGACCGTAGTGTTCTTCAGTACGTCGTGATTTTGGCAAGTGGGACATGTTCCTGGATCATCATCCCACACTGCATTCCCAGACCAACATCGCAACCAACCAATAGCATCTGTGACATCATCAATGTGCTACTCCTGCGCTTCTTTCAAAATTATTTTGTGCTTCTTTGGAGTTAAGTTTTCAAAATTGAAGTTATTGCGGTTAAACAAAATCATCTACACTGTACAAAATTCCTGTAAGCTAGTGCAAGACTAAGTAATCTTGATAATTAGGCAGGCTATGCTAACAAGCAAACTTGCCAATAGGCTAGATGCTAACAAAGATTAAGGATATAATTTTTCAGTAGCTCATACCTGCGATCACCACCATGTTCACAGCACTACCTAGTTATCAAGCTAGCTCAAGTCCACTTGTTATCTTAGCCTACCTACTTAGCAGGCTAACTCGCTAACCTTGCAAAAGTTCATAAGGATTTTGTTCATTTGCACTAATTTTAATTTGGAAAACTTAGTTCAGCTCTGAAGAAGCACAGGAATTTTGAAAGAAGCGTAGGAGCAGCACACTGATGATGTCACAGGGCTGTTATCAATTGATTGAAATGTTGGTCCAGGAACGCAGTGTGGGATGCTGATCCAGGAGTATGTCCTACGTGGCAAAAATCATGTTGCGTTCATAGTTTGTTTATAGCCTAGCGGGAGCTTTTTACTTTTGGAATTGCATTTAGGTTTTAATAAACATGAAAGTGGTGTTCAATTGACCTATGACTAAGTCCTGCCCTCAAACGCAATGAGCCAATCACAGTGCGTATAGCCAATCCCATACACTCGGACATTCTCTGCCTGGACGTTCATTGAAATGCATTACAGAAAGTCAGTTTTGTTCGGTTTTATGAGCTTTTTCTGAGATTTGAGGTTTAAAAATGGTCAAACGGTGTGCATGGGGTACATGCAACTCCGACACAAGGTATCCTGAGAGGCTGGGCGACGAGGTGTCTTTTTTACACTTTAAACCACATCTCAACAGAGAAAAGTGTCTCCTTTGGATAAAGTTTTGTGGTAACGTTAGACCACAACATCAACTCAACGTGGATAAGATTAACAAGATGTCTACATCTGTTCTAAGGTAAGACAACATTGTGTTTGAGGCAACATAATGTCACTTTGCTGGAAAGAAACGTTAGCTCCTGGCTGCGTTGTTCATCATGCCACCTTGTTTGCTGGGAGTTCATTAGCCTATTGTGTTCTAGTTTTGTACTTTGGTGATCGTACATCATTGTTAGCTGTTGTCCAAAGGGCTCTAGTTAAGCTAACGTTAACTTCTGGAGCTTAGCTTCATTAACTTATCTGTAATCGCAGAGATAACAAAGGTTGGCAAACGTTATGCTGAATGATTCAATGTAAATACTGTAGCACCAAACTAACAGAGAGACACTCTTGGTAAAGATGGTAAAAAGGCCGTTATCCTTTTCTCATATTCTGAGCCAAAAACCTTAACTTCAGTGGCACTTTCACAAGCGTACACTGTGACCTGTAAATACTGGCTTGTAATTTAAGCTTTTCATCGACCTTCTCAACAATAAAATGATGAATATATCCCTCCAATGCGTAGTTTAGGCCCTTTTGGTTACTTCTCAATGACATCTGATCGTTATGTCTACAAAAATCATCAGTTGCCTCCTGCGAAATGCCGTGTACTGTGACACCTGCCATAGCGCCGGTCACTGAATGTTGATAGTTTGTCTGAGTGAGTGGAGGGGGGCGTGGCTTAGCCATAGGCCACTTGTGAAGATTATCTTGATGAACAAAATGTGTAAGTATCATAAATGCTTGCCTGCCACAGAACTTGTTTTCTGCAATAATCCAAAATGCCACCAGCATTGCTAATAAAAGTGCAACACAGTAAACTCTGCCACCGTGGTCAAGAAAAAAATTAAGTTTTAATTATAATCAAAGCCTTATCTATGTCAGCTCTGCCTCTAGGAGGATAAAGCTGCTGCTCAGTCAAAACAATAACAGAAGATGGACTCTGCTGACATTGTGAAGAAGCACGGAATTATAAGAGTTTTTGTCTTTGTTAAACAACCAACATTGCAAATAAAAATGTATCTGACGTGACTCAGGCAGAAATCATGTTACTGAATGTAAAAATGTACTGATATTTTATTCACATTACTTTCATTTGTGATACACCATTTTATTTAAATGAAATAACAGCAAGTAACATTAGCTAACGTAATGTTAACTCACTTAGAGCGGTACAACATACAGCGACTGTAGCTAACATGATGTGGCAAATTAATTTGTGAGGTGGCCCAGCTCTGATCTGTGGTCAAAACAGTCAAACTAAAAATACTTTGAGCCTGTTGAACACTGCTGTAATATTATTATGTTACCGTACGCATTAGCTTGGTGGATGGCATGAGCCACTCATCATAATAGCATATCATAGATATCAAAATGTGTCAATAAATAAGGTTTCTACTGGATTATTGTTGGAAAAATATTAAAGTCGTAGCTATATTTTTGCAGTAGCTTGCTGGTCGTTTAACTACATTCATAATTGCATCATGATTCAAGTAGTTTAAATACTTTTTTGTCCATTTTTTTGTGTAGTTAACCTCTGAAACTACAAACAAGTTTTGGCCATAAAATGAATGAAATGATATTTTTTAATTCTTATTTTACCATTAGTCCTCTACTGAAATCGATCACCGTTTGACCAGCCCCGCCCCCTCTATCTTTCATCCTGAATGCTGCTGTGAAGGCGTGCAGGCAATACTTTCGTCAGGCAGAGTTCTGTTAGCCTAAACCTCAATTCCCTACCTATCACTTAGTCAGAGGTAATGATTCTTTTATTTCTTTATTTACTTATTTATTGGGTTTAAGTCTGACCTGTGAACAAGTGGGCATATTTTGCAATAAACTCAACTGAGTAGCATTTTATACTGCTGTTTATTTTTATATATATATATATATATATATATATATATATATATCTCAAGAAATGGTGCGTTTCATCATCATAACATATATGTATATATATTTATTTATTTATTTATTTTTTACAAATGAGTTTGAACTACTTTTTCAAGGTAACTTAAGTTAACAGAACTAGATTTCTTCCTAGCTTTGCTGTAGTTCAGCTTCTTCCTGTGTAAGGTAATAGGTATCTTGCAAAGCTATGCTTTCAAAGTAGCTTCCCCAACACTGAGTTAGAGCAACTAGAGGGTATAAGGGTTATATGACACCACTGACAAGTGACCAAATGAAACGCACCATTTCTTGAATAAAATTACAATTGAACATTGTTGGAAACATTTGGGATAATGTAAGAACCAAACTCATCAAAATATATAACAAAGGTTAGATCATTTGTAGAGATTTTAATGCGGAAGTGTTACATATTATAACTTTAAGTGCATGGCTTAAATAAGTGACAAATACTAGATTAAATGAATGCATTCACTGTCACCCATTCATACCTGGAAAGAAATGTCAGGACAAGGTTTTGGTGCTCGGAGGCCAGCCATGTAGGACACAGTAGGGAAAACATCCACCAGCTCCACCATGTTCCTTATAACTTTGTCATCTGGGAGAGAGAGGGGTCAGCCAATTAGAGAAAGTCTTACACAGCCACTGACAGCAATTAGTCAAGATATCCACTAAAATTTACTAGACAACCCGCTCTTAAATTTCATCATCATTGCACCATTTGCATTTGAAGTGAAAACTGTCCGAGGCAAAATATCAAAGTGTATCCCTGTCTAAATACTGTTGGGAGCTCTCACTGTATATCAAAGACTTCATTAAAGTCAAGTTGGCAGAATAAAACATGTTTTAACACATTTTTAATGAGGATTTAGGACCAAAGATATTAAATCAAACTTGAGTTCCCTTTTGTGACTTGAAGATGCTTTTGAATAATAAATGGACTGAACAGGTTAATCAATAGTAATTTGTTGTCAGTGACTGGGCCTTACTCTTAAAGATGAGCTCTGACTGGGTGAGGGCATCAATAAAAGGAAAGGTAGACTCTCCCAGCCTATGATGGCGAGTGGTGACCCCAGGAATGTAGAAGATAAGTGGGACACGTGTTGACACATCAAAATTAGAATATTTAGCCCATTCGCCATGTTCTCCTAATGACCAACCTGCAACAAAAGGCAGAAAGAGAGATTATGAGGGATGTTAGTTCAAAAAGGCTGAGGCAGATGGAAGATATAAACAGAGCTAAAACTGTAATTCTATGGCATAAAAATAACATTTTGGATACAGACTCCCAGCCATCCTATATTTGAAAATGATGCCATTAGATTGGGTTTTACTGGGTATATATCAAACAGTCATGGAAAGGATTCACTCCAGCATGCTCCACTGAAAGAGACATTAAAAGAAATTGATTTTCCAAGTCACAAAGTTTTTCTAAGGAGGTAGTGCAAGAAAGAGCTGGATTTTTAGAATATAGCAAAGATGTGGAAGGAAGTACTGGTACAATACGGTGTTACAACACTGCCATCTGGTGGTGAAAGACAAACTTGCCACATGTCTGCAATATTTACTTAAAAAAAAAAAACACACAAAAACAATCTACTTCCACAGTGTGCATTGAGAGCCTGACAACTGACATCATAAGTTATTAATTTCACCAAATATTACTAAAAATGAACAATTTTGTCAGTGTTTTGACTAGAAATCAAACTCTGGTATAGTCAGCCATTCCAAGTTCATGTCTCCTTACCATGATCTGAAGTGAACACCACCATTGTGCTCTCAGCCAGCCCCAGCTCATCAAGGGTACTGAGCAGCCGTCCAACCTGAGCATCCATGTAAGATACAGCAGCGTAATAGTGCTGACGGATACGCAGCTGGAAGACATGAGACAGAACACTAATAGTGTTTGTTTCAATGAGTAGCAACATGGGAACCAACTTATAAATGGTTTCAAAGTGTTGACAGCAGCTAGTTCATACCTGAAAGTCTTTAGGAATTGGTCCATAGGGAAAGCTAATGTTGAGCTTTTGGACATCATCTCTCCTCCTTACGTCCGTCCAGGGGTTGTAGGCCACAGGTGGTAGAAGTGTAGGGACATTGGGATCAGGGGCCAGAGTCATTTGGTCTATGGGATATAGACTCAGGTATTCCTGTAGTGTATAACCAACAGGTTTCCAAAGTGTGCTAAATAAAATCAGGTACACATACTATACGATATAAGTAAACAGTGGATTTGCATTATGACAGCCAACTATTACCTCCACAAAGGAGGTAGCCTAATGTGTTTGGTTTGGGTTGTTTGTTTGTTTGTCTGTCTTCCATCAAGATTATGGAAAAACTGCTGGTCTGATTGTGGTGAAAAGATGTAGCATCCCAGTTGATACTGGATGTAAATATGACATCAGAAGATGTTGGACTCTTATGGCAAACAGATGTTAAATTTTAGCTGGGATAAAAATCAGGTTGATGATATGTTAAAAGTCTAACAACATTAGAATTTCATGTCGTGTGGATGCCAAATTTTGGACATTTGGCAGACGTTGGGTTTTGTTCTCCATACTTTAGGACTAAATGTTGTTGTACTAGTACAGATGATGTTGGCATGAGACGTTAAGTAGATGTTGGATTTTTGTTACTTAACATCACAACTTAAACTCAACAAAATATCAGCATCATGTGTTGTCAGTATTCTACCTCAACCCGATGTTAGTATTGGACATCCAGACATTGAGTTTTGGTAACCTGACACAACCTAAATTCAATCAAATATCAACGTCTAACGACCTTAGTGGCCTGTTGGGATGGGCCAAGGATGAACCCATTACATTTTGGAGTGGATCCGAATCAATTATTTTTCATTTTTGTTAGCACTGTGAGATGGGGCATTTGCCCTTGGTGTTGGTCTGTGTTCTCCAAGTGCCCTTCTAGTTGTACTGCTTTTCCAAACTAAGGAACAACGCAAAAAAATCCTTCTTCTAGCAGCCTAAAGATTTGGAAAATGTGCCTATGCTTTTACTATGTCACACCTCCACTACTGTGATGCCATGTTCGCTGAAAACAAAAAGGTGATGGAGCTTTTGCCGTTGTTGCTCTTTAACTCTGAAACAGCCTACTGCCCGAGGTCAAACCAGTCACACCTGCAGAAAGCATCAAAAATAAGTTTGTTTACCTGCATTTTCCCATCATAACTCGTGGTTATTACATTGAAAGTACAAAATTACTTACCATTTAAATTAAAAAAAGTATTTATGGTATTGCTTTAAAACAAGGTTTGAAGGAGAGGGAATGTAGGAATCCCATGTTATTATCTTATTATTACAGAGGATGGCTTCTAAAATGTATTTGTCATTACAGTAGAACAACTCTGATATTATTTCATTAATATTGTGAAATCACTTACATTACTTTATATTAAAGGGTTGGTTCAGATTTTTTTTAAGTGGGGTTGTATGAGGTTCTTATCCGTAGTCAGTGTATTACGCCCAGCTGATGGCAGTCAACACGCCTGATGGCAGTCAGCACGCCCCCAGTTTGGAGAAGCAGACAGGAGTACCGCCACAGTACCTAAGCAATGTATAGCAATGTGTAGCTAAGCACAGGAGATGCTGGACTACTGCTGCCTTGCTCAGTCAATTAGTTTGTGTTATTGTGTGACTTTGGTGTTTTAAAGAGTTCGTTTGGAATCACCAAAGTCACACAATTAATCTATCGAGACAGTGGTAGACCAGCAACTTCCATTTTCTGTGACGTAAAATTAGTGTTTATGTCAAAGGACTTTGGTGGTTTTGAAGAAAGCAGGATCGACATTACAGCTTGAGTTCGGCATCAGAAAGGGCTTTTTGACAACAAAGTAAAGCAGTGAAAATATTGTAAATATAGCATACACAGTAACAGGCAACAGATAGCATGTTTTCCTAAATATATCATCATGAAAATAATGTAGGTTGCACAGGGTAGTGGCCACAGTAAAATCAGACTATCAGTGTTTACATAGGTTACTTAGTGGCTTTGCAATCTTTGCAATAAGCTTCTGTCACCGGTGCCGAAATTTCACGGAAAAAATCTGCTTTACGGCAGGAAACGCATCATGTATTGCGAAATTGGTCAGTCAGCCAATCAGGGACTGGAGCTGGTCCTTATGAGGAACTGACCGGGGCATGAGATAGTTGAGTCACGAACACAATGGCAGATGAACAAAGTTTGGAGACAAGTGAAAAACGGCGTAGCAAAAGAAAACAAGCTCCTCTGTCTGATGAGGCAAAGAAGAGCACAAAGGAGGATGATAAAAGAAGAGGAAAAACAAGAGTAAACCTCAGTCAGGCTTTCAAGAGATGAAGGGAACTCCGTGACCAAAGAGGCTTCAAAACCGATGTCCAGCTAGCTTTCTTTCTAATGGATCAGTAAGTAACACGGCTAAATGTTAGCTAGACGAGAGAGGGCTGAACTGTACTGGCTGCTAGTTAATTCCTCGCTGGCCAGCATCGCAAATCGCCGCAACCAGGGACCAGGTAGCGAGAGTTGGTCAGCTGACATCCTCGTTGCCATTCTACGGCAGCCCTCTGACAGTGATACCCCCCTCCCTTCCTTCTGTTCTCTTCTCACGGAGGCAGCTATCGACGGACATCGCCCAGCTAAGTTACGCCCAGCTAAGTGAACACTGGACTTTGTTTCCCATTCAATTTGAGCTCCAACCGGCCACACGTTTCCATACGGTACGGTTTATTCTAGAATCAGGACTGTTTACATGCACATTGGTATAATTCCACTGTGTCTACTGTTATTTGAACTGATACTGTACATATTGGTATAATTTACTGTGAGTCGTTGGTACTGGTACTGTGCATTCTGGTATAATTATATGCATTACTATTTGGTTTTTCTTCAGATAAATCTGATCATTTTTCCTCGGTGTCTTTACTCATTTATTTAGTATAGTGTCCACACACCTTCTCATTCTACATATACATAGAGGTATACTGGTGGCTTTACAGCCTACATTTTATTGATTATCTCTGATCCCCACCGTCAATTTGGTTGTTGCGACAGTGCGACGCAACACCACTGACTTGGTGGCGCCAAGCTAAAAAAAACAACAAATCCTATCTGTTGCCTCTTTAAGGTAATATTGATTTTTCAGGTGGCTAAATGATCTTTTACTGATGCCCCCGACAACAGCTGTACATTGCTTAGCTTCTGCGACAGTACTCCTGCCTGCTACCCAAACTGAATGCTGGCTGACCGCCACCTACTATAGGTAATACACTGGCTACAGATAAAAACCTAATACAACTTCACTTCAAAAACACCAAACTAACCCTTAATGTTAATGACTGGTATAACTTCTAATTACCAAGAGGTAACATGAATCAGCACCAACCTGGTGCTCTTTTTTGAGATAAATTACAAACATTGTGATTATTGCTAATGTGCAGTATACAAAAATCCTTATGATCATCAACATGTGGGAAGTTACAGATTTGTCAAAGGAAACAGACTCCTCTCACTCTTGAGTATTCCAGGTGTTCCCACGTCTTTAGCTTCACTGACTTTAATCATTCCAGAAATTGTCGAGTTTGCATCGGTTTTTAATCTGGCTGAGATGGCTGTGTGTGTCTCGGCAATATGGGGCAAATCACATGTAGCATTACATGCTGACAGACAGAGCTGGCTTGACCTTTTCTACTCTTTTCCCCCCAATCTTTCAACTTTCACTTTGTGGGAAAACCTCTGTGGCATGCTGACATTCGTCTCCATTCAGTCTGTCTCGGCTCTCATTGAACTTCCACTTCATCACGCTCTCTTCCTCCTTCATGCTGAATTGCATCCCCCATATATCTAGATCAGTTCTAATCAAATTCACTTCACATACAGTATGTATCTCTCATTCTAGCTTTCAGAGATTCCTTTTCTTCATTCTATTTTCTGGTTTTTACACATGTAGCCCCACATCAAAACTTACTTTGCTTCTTAAAAACATTGTAATTCTAAAAAATAAAAAATGCAATATTTATCTACTGGCTCATATGGCATTGACTTCTCTGTGAACTTGTTTGTGTTTGTTCCCAAAGTCAATGGGGGACTGGAGACTAAGTGAGTTGGATACTGCATCCCAGTGAGTGAATGACTGACTTCATGAATGAGCATGGCAGAAATTCCACCAGAAGAATAGCTGCATCCAGATAAGTACAGCCAAACAGAGTTATGGTGTTTGCAGACTTGTGGTGGTGAATCCATGGGTTTGCGATAGAGCTAGACTGGCAGGTCAGCAGATATCAGCTAAATGCCAAAGATATGGTTATGGTAATCTAGAAACAGTGTGTCAGTTCCATAATTCGTCCACAAGACAGTGACAGTTTTTTTGTAAAATGTCCGGCTAAACACATATTGATTAAAAAAATAATCATAATAACTTAAGGAAACGTTAATGAAGATGTCTGAGTGTGTTACGTGCTTAAAGAAAAAAAAGAATACCAGAAAAACAACGTCAGATTTTTCTAATTCCAATATCAATATCAGTATCAGCTTCAAAATTCCAGTAGTGTCTGGCTGTATAGTCCACAACTCGGTTCACAAGGGTGCTTCACAGCATTACCAAGTATTGTAGCTCCCATAAGATGTTCATGACCACCGGTGCTAGTCAACAGCTTATTCACAGTAATTAAGTAAAGTTTATCCAGCCAGTGTCAGAGTCAGTTACACATACCAGCAAACCAGCATGTTAACCCATCTATAGCATGTGATCATGTGACAGGAGAATAATTTGCCATGCATTGCTCTTTTTCACTGCACAGTAAAGAGCTGTGTCAATGAACAAATGACACCATTGACCATCGTGGTTTCAAAACTGTGGCTCAGATACAGAGATCATGCATCTTCCCAGCCGCTTCAAAAGTGGCATTAACAAATGAGCTTCTTCTAGCATGTGAGAAAATCACATCAAGTTTTGTTCCCAGCAACTAAACATAATCAAGACAAAAATTACACATCAATAGCAACATGTGCTGGAACTGCGAGGGTCATAAGGACAGAGTGATGTCGTATGCTGTAAAGCCCTGTGAGGCAATTTGTGATATTGGGCTTTATAAATAAAATTGAATTGAATTGAAGTATGGTCAAAAGTATTGTAGCTGTATGTTTATTTAAATATTTG